GTGAGTTTTGTGTGGGTCAAAGCGTTATGCCGGAGTCCTGTATACTTCTTACATATTTCTTCCTTTTTCCACTGCCCATCAAAATTCAAGATTCTTAAATTCATGAAGCACATGAGATCTATCTCTACTACTCGTACTATTTTGGAATTTTTTTAAAATTAAGCTTCTTATAATTTATATCCCCAACACTGTCATCTACTCAGAATGATATAACTTCTCTTTGTTTCCAATACAAAATGCTTAAAACCTTTCAGTGGCCAGTCCCTTTATTCCTAAGTCTCTTTCTAAAATATTCCTTGAGAGCATTTCTCAGTCTTGGCACTATGGACAATTTGGACCAAATAATTGTCGTGGGGGTCTGTCCTGTGCATACTAGGAGATTTAACAGCACCCATGCTAAACACATGCCCATAACACACAGCTCCTCAACACCCCTGTGACAACTAAAAATGTCTCCACACATGAACAAAGTCCCCTTGGGGAGCAAAACTATGTCCTGTTTAGAACCAAAGCTTTAGGGCTTATATCATCTCACTGTGCCTGCCTGGTCTTCTCTCTGGTTTCTTCAGCACTAATTTGATTCTTGCCAAGGATGATTGTCCAACCCTCCTTGTCTCCTCCAAGCTGTTGCCCCATAACTGTAGACAATCTGCAGCTTCTTGTTCAACAAAATTAAAAGAAACAAAATGACTTGTTTTCTTACTATTGTTCATCTCTTTTTTGCATGTTTTGCAGAAGCAAAACTTCTATGCATGATCACAGCATGCTCAAGGAGGAAATATATACATTTGTCAAATTTAAACACTTTTCTGTGACATGCTTAGTATAATTAACACTTTCTTTAAAAAATAAAAATAGCCTTAGGGTAAGAAGTCTATCTTCTTTTCTCTTGAGTGGTATTGTCTATGCAGTCAGTACAAATGCACACCCACATACCTGCAAATGCTCACACATACTCCAACCTACCTGAAGATGATCATTAAGAATTGTCTAGAACTTTATAGTTAGACCAGCTGAAACTGTAGACTTGATTTACAGTGTATTACAAAGATAGCTAAGTGTAGGGAGAGTGAAGTAATTTGGATAATCTGAGTGAGCATTAAAGGTTCATTAAACAAGATTATGGAGTAAAATATCAGTTGAATAGTATTGTCTTGTAGTGTTTCAAATAATTAGAGGAGAATTATTTCAGTAGACATAGACATGACTATTAACCAAAGGATGAAAAACTGAATTGGTGAAGATCACAGGATCAGCAGTCAGACCACTTGATTTTAAATGCTCCCTTGGCCACTAACGAGTTATTATTTGGAACTAGTTACTAAACCTTCTAGTCCTCAGCTTCCTCACCTTGAAAATCACAATATGCACTCCATAGAGGATTGCTGTGATGATCAACTGAGAAATACATGAAAAACATGTAACCCTATGCTGGCCAAGCAGTGGGCACTCAATATATGTTGGCTATACCTCTCCATTGCCCTCAGCTATAAATATCCAGTTTTTTTTTTTTTTTGTCTCAGACTGTCTAGTATAGCAAGCAGTGAAAGAATTAGTGAAAACCAAGATCTGTTACCAGAAAAAAAAACTATCTGGCAAAGGTTTCTGGAATTTTCAATGGGGAATGATTGGTGCATTATAAAAGTATTACTAATAAGCACATGCAATATACCAGATCCTGTGTCAAGCACTTTATAGGCATTCTCTTATTTAATCCTCACAAAAAATACTATGAAGTGACCAGTTTTGCAAACCTGATGAAGTAACCTGAATGAAATAAGCAAATAATTAATAATATTTTACAGAGGCGAAACTGGAGGCTTAGAGAGTTTGAATCACTGGATCAGCATCACAGAGTAAGAAGTGAAAAAATGGAGTCGAAAGCCCAGGTCTGGTTGTGGCAGAACCTCTGAACAATTCATATGATACTTATCAATATATAATGGACATGCAATAACTTCTTGATGAAATACAATTTTAACATTTATTTGTAATAAAAGAATTAGAAAAAAATATATGTATCTATTATAGAGGCAATCACCAGAATTAGAAAGTTTAAGCAACTCATGTAGTTAACTAAGATAAAGGCTCTGACAAGAAAAATGTTGTCAAACAGTTGAAAGAAAATGACTCAAAGTAGATGTCAAAAGTTAGGTGGTTGAAAAAATAATGGGAAAAATAATTTCCACAGACCAGGTAGCACTATAGGAGAAGAATAAAATGGTATATTGCAAATACATATTTTTGCTAGATGGTCTCAAGTCCTTTCTAGAACAAAAGGGGTTATATATTAAATTAATGGTAAAATGGCTCCACCTTCTGTATTTACTCTGTGGAGTAAGTAGCTATCGAATTGAAAAACCGAAACAGAAGCCATTTTATAATTGGACTTCAAAAATTTATGATTATTTGCTACATAACTTTAACAGAACAAAAGAATGGCAAATAAACTACTTTAATACCTTAGTGTATCAAAACTTCAAATTTATTAAATTTCTGATTTATACATATATTCTTAACATCTTTCTACATATAAGTTCAAATTCAAATGAAACATTTACTGGCTATGATCACATAATAATATAACACTCAGTGGATATTTATTGAATAAATAAAATAAATGGCGTGACAGGTAAACTCTAGATATTTAACTTCTTAATGTTTTTTTCTATAATTAGTATTAAATGTTTAAGTACAGCCTTAAAATGAAGTTACAGTAAAAAATTAATCTAAAAGTGTTTTATACAAAGTAGGATCATTAAATGCAATAGCAATGTTATTTTTGTTTTTTTGTTTGGTGCACATCATAAATTCTTAAAAGAAATGCATTTCTTTTAAAATGTATAGTTACTTTTTCCTGAAAATATATGATTCTAATTGAAAAAAAGCATATGGAGACATTTTAAAAGCACTCAGAATCTCACAACTTATTTATAAGAATGGGAAAATGCATTTATTTAATTTCGTCAGGACTCAAGTCCCAAATTACTCCAGGCTGTGAAATTTGAAATCTTATACAAGGGTGCCACTCTGTGGTCAAAATCAGGAATAGCAAGCTAAAATCAAAGAATACTAGATTACTGATCACAATTTATTATTGAAGCTGAATTGGAAAATGAAAGCTTAGGTTCTTAAAATAAAAAGCTTAAAACTTGATTTACATATTCTTTCTTCATAAGTTGAACTTCTGATATTACTTTGTAACAAATAAAATTATTAAATCATGATGATGATGATGACATCAGTTCTGATAACTATGAAAACTGTCAAAACACTTAGTTCTTTCAAACTTAAAAGCCTATTTTTTAAAAAGATGTCCAGCTCACTTTTTTTCCTTAAAATGAGTAAAAACTGAGTGGCATTTGCTTTTCATGTGAAACAAAATACAATTTGAAGAAAATATTTAAAATTTTGGTGCTAACCTCAGTAATTTCACTAATGTTGGACATATTTATATTAACCACATCAAAATAGTTTGAACTTATAAGAAAAAAAATCACATGGTGTAATGTCAAATTACAAAATTTATAGTTCTCTGCCAATTCTCTGTTGTTATTTTTTAGTGTAATTTTGGTTCAGAAAACAAAAGACTATTGGTATATTTACAGTTATAGCTACACCAGTTAAATTAAAAAGAACTGGAATTACAGTTAACATACAGACAGTACAAACACTGATACTGCATCAATAGTTGTCATGTGCATCTATCTAATAAAAATGTAAAAAGAAATATCCCTACCGAGGTAAAATCAGTTTTACTCAACTTGACTGAAAGCTTACGTTGGCTTTTTTAAAGTGGAAATTTCTACAAGAGTAAAAAAGAGAGCTGGACAATTTGAAAGCATAATGTATTATAATGTGTACAATTCAACCTTCAGATTATATTACTTTAAAAATCTTAAATATTCTATTGAGTTAATTCAAGCTTTTGTGTTTATATTAATAACTGACTCCTAAAATTAAAGTTTTCTTAATTAAGCATGTGTTCTAAATAGGTCATTAGGTTACTAAATACTTGCCTTTTTAGAGAAGCTGGTAGGACCCAGGGATCAATTTGCCTTTTAAATACAGTGTAACCCAGACAGCCTATCAGTACACTAATGACATTCCTTTGCAAGTTGTTATTCCTGCATTACTTTCCAATCTTTTCCCTCTCTTTTATTTATTTCTGTATGTTGACTCTCTACATCACTATGTTTTTTGGGTTTTTTTTTTGTCTTTTGTCTTTTTCCGTGTCCAGCAACGGATCGCAACCCTCAGTGTTGCCCCCGTACCGGACCGGGGACCGGCAACGGGATCGCAACCCTCGGTGTTGCTCCCACACCTCGCTCAGCCAGTGAGCGGGAACCGGTCTGTATGTGGGATCCGAACCCTCGGGCGGGAGCGCCGCCGCGCTTCCCAAGTGGCGCACTTATCCAGTGCGCCACCGGGCCGGCCCTACATCACTATGTTTAATTACAGAACTTGTAACATGAATGCTTTCCAGTTCTTAAAATATGCCATTTCACCCTTTCAAATCACATGAACTAGTTTTCCAAATCCTCCAATCCACTGGATGTTCTCCAGACATCCTCCTTGTATTTTGTCTATTTCTTACTCTCAAAGAATAAAATAAATTCTATGAAGTAAACATTATAGCCAAGTATAAGTTCTATGCTCTTACTTTCTTTAAAGTAAAAGTAAAGTCACCAGAACCTATAGTACATATATACTGAGGATAGTACCCATCAATATAAATATTATACTTAAGGGAGAAAATATACCTAAAGCTCAAGGGATATTTGATTATTAATATCTCTACAAAATTCCTTAGAGCTAGCCATTTTAGAAAGGACCAGATGTACTATAATTAGTAGAAGGAGACCCATAAAAAGTATTTTTGACTGTTTTTAGTCTCATGAAGAATTAAAATCATATACATTATGATTACAGTAGTAGAAATTTAAATGCTGACATAGGAATCACTGGGATATTAATAAGATGAAATTTAAAACACATACCATAAAATTCCTCTGGTAATGAATATTTTCTTTGTTAAAATCAATCACATAGCCATTGAAGGACCAAATAAATGTGAGATCCAGGGCGGGGTCGAAGGACGCAGCACACTGCATGGTGGCATTTTCTCCAACAGTGATATCGGCATTAATGGGGGCCAATATAATTCGTGTGGGATCTATACATGTTTAAATAAAAGAGTAAGGCACAATTCAAGAAAATGTAAGACACCATATTATCTGGTATATTGAAAGAATAAAAACCAATATATTTTTATTTCTCTGTGCAAAAGAACAAGACATTTTCACATTCAAATTCTGGGAGCAATTTTTATCAAGCAAGAGACTTGCCTGGAAGGCTTTTGAAATGGAAACTTGTCAATACTTGGACTGTCTTAGAAGCTTAGTGCTGGAACACATGTCCTTTAATACATTAGAAATTAAGCAGCATCAAACTGAATATATATATATTAACCAGTGGTTTCTTACCTGTGATAACAAGAGTTCCAGTGCTATTAGCTTTCCCTCTATTATTTTCAGCAAAGCACGTGTAGACACCTCCGTCATTCCTTGTAATGTTATTGATTTCCAAGCTACCATCTTCCCAAATGAGTATCCTATTAAAATGAAAAAAAATATACAATTCACAGAATTAATTCAATAAAATACTTTATTTTATGTCTTAGATTGCAAGCACTAACATTTTATACAAATCACTTGGCAAGGAGACTTTTTCTAGGTTGCAACATTCTAGGCTTTATATTATTTTTTCTCAGTACTGGCAATTTGTTTTAGAAGGACACTTTCATCTTTTTCTTGAACTATTTTCTAGCTGGCCTCTCATTACGGGATGGGCTCGAACCAATTATAGGCTTGAAAGAAATAAGCCCAGGTGTTCTAGAAACAGAACCTCAGGACTTCAATTCAGACATCAAAGTCAGAATAGCCTGTCATTTTAACTGCTACAGAGAAATATAAACGTTTTATTTTTAAAAGCTTTTATAGAAAGGTATTTTAAAACTTCCCATAGTAATAGCTTCTGTAACAGATTAATATTTAGGAAATTCTTCTTTGAACAGAACCTAAATCTTTCACAACTCAAATATTAGCCCCGCCTGTCTGCCTCTTCCCTAGGGGCTGGAGAATCCAAAACTTGCTAAGTTTTATTACCTAGCACTTCACACTTCGATTCAATATTGAATTGCCTGTCACTAGATTTTTACTTTCTTTTAATGTATCATTTTCAAACTTTAAATTATTATTGACGGTTTGCACAAAATATGTGAACATATATTCCATTTTAAGGGCAGAGTCTGATCAAAGAAAAATAACTATTATCTATCTTATTAAAAATCTCCATATAAGTAAATACCCAAAATTTCACTACTATTATATATCAAGATTTCATTTCCCTTCTTTATCTATCCAGTTTCAACTAAAATCTCATTTCAGAATATTTTTTGCTCTTGAAGAAGAAATGCAGTATCAAAATAATATGACAAGAAAAGTAATTATTTGATGCCATGGAAGCTTTGAGAATGTGCCGCTTTCTCTAGCTGTGAGGAGTGGAATTGACCCCCCGCTCCAGCTGCTCTGCTCAGAAATCCATCACTGTGGTTAGCAAAGGCCACACTTGCCACGGGATGTTCTGAGCCAATGACTGAGCATGGGAGAAATTGTAAAGGAGGTCTGTTCCTGGAAGACATTAAGCTCCTCGGGTGGATATTTTTGGCTGGAGGACTCTCCAGTGGCCTTGCCGTACTCTCTAAGAACCACACTGCAGTCCAAGTCATTTCAACCCAATCTTTTTTCCTTCCTTCCGTCTCTCCATCTGGGATCAGAGCTGTGTCTCAGTCAGATGGCTCTCCCAGCCTCCACCCCACTTCCTCTCTGTTTTCCCTCCCATGCACTGTCATTAATAAATCTCTTACACAGCCAATCCTGTCCTGGCATCTGCTTCTTAGAGAGCACATATTAGCACAGTACCAGTACTAAAGTGCCACACTTTTTCTCACTAAGCTCCAGTATAACTCCTTAGCCAAATTTCCACTCTAGTCCCATTTAATCATTTTGTAAGCAAAGCAATGGAAATTATATTCAAGTTGAAATGTAAAAACAACAGCGATTTTTTTCTAGAATCCACACTAATATTTTTAGTTTACTTATATTGGTCTAAATTGATATTTATCATCTTAAAGAGTATAAATACATCCTGTGTCATTCATCTCATTTCTACTTTCAGCCACTTCTCCCTTGACATTAAAATTCCTTTTTACTAAAGATATTTAGGGAACTTGATCTTTTTTTGTAATGATGCTCCTTATTCTTAAATTAATGTAGATCAAACTCTCAGGATTTCATACTTATTTACAGATAATTTGATATGCATCATCAGTCAAACAAACTAGAAACAATCTAGTCTTTCACAAATCAGTCACTATTGTTGCCAAAATTACTCCAGGATAACTTCCACCTTATCTTTTAATTGTTAAAGTGTACCAACTCTGCAGAAACAAATATGGAGATCCTCTCACATAAATGGCTTGGATAAAAGTCACGTTAGAGCCAATAGCAGCAGTCCATTGGATATAAATTAACAACTACAGAGAAATTCTGTTGGAGAAAATATATCATTTGAGCCCAAAATAAAATTATTAAATTGAAAACTCAATTATATTTATCAGGATGCATGGCTTCCCCTTAGAGTGGAAATATTGCACCAACCATTGTACAGGCCACAACCAGGCACAGAAGTGACCCTGTTATGTGAAACTATTATTTGTAATTATATTTACGAGAATGAGATTATATTTACGCCTAAAGACAGTTATTTAGTTACTCCTTGGATAGTCTTTTTCAATATTAATTCAAAAATTTATTTAACTTTTCTTTTATAGATATCATTTTATAATATTCAAACATTTGTAGCTGAAAGACTCATATATTATAAAGTGGTACTTGACTAACTTGAGATATTAAGGTATTAAAGGAGTGAGCAAAAATTGGACTTGAATCTTAGAATCTTTCATAAAGGAAGTAACACAATTTGATTCAAAGGCTCTAAAAATATCTGAACACAACCAAAATAGTAAGAGTTTAGGAGGTACATTTTGCTTGTTTTTTTTTTTGAGCACATGTTT